CCTATAAACCGAATCAAACCCCCATCTATCTTTTAAGCCCACCACAAATGCATTCGGGTTGCCCCATCCACGTTCCCTTATCCCAATCCATATCCGTCATACATGCAATCCCCCATACCGTGTCCATGCACCCACATCCCATCCCATCCCATCCAATTCAAAGATGAAACCCAAAACGCCGCCCAATACCAAAAAGGAAAGGACAAGGCGTGAAAAAAAATATGTGCCATGCGTGTATCGAGATCCCATTAGATCGCCGTCTCATTCCAAGAATTGTGTTTCATACGCCATTCCAAGCAAACGACGGAAAGTTCAGGCAGCTGGCACTTCCACTATATCACTTTTCCTGTCCTTCAATCGCCGATATTGCGTTCTTCATATGCAAGGCAAAAACTATCTCTCTCATCAGCTCAAGCACTAGTCCGACTTCAAACGGCAAAGAAACTTACGTTCATAACAATCATCATCGGAATATCAAACACATCCCTCTTAACCGTCCAACAATACGTACAATCCATCTTCCCATCCCTCTCGAGCGTGCCGATCCCATGTTCGCCATCAATTTCGCGGACTCTCCCGCCCATACCGCCAATCCCGCCGTTGAGCGGCGGATGGTGTTTAGCCTCTTCTTTAATACTTCGCTCGGGTGACGCTTCTAGACTTTCTTTAGTCTGATATTTCAGAAGCTTGCCGCGTGTCGTGACGCTCCCTCTGCTATCACCAAAAGCCAAGCGCGCAAAGTCTTCATAGAACTCAATCACGGAATCATCGTCCATCAGCTCGGCGATGAAGACCGGCTGTGGTTTACCTTCCTTCGTCTGGGATTCGGCCAGGGTCAAAGGACGCATTCTAGGTGTCGCGAGGCCTGCTCGACCTGTATTTCCTAGACTCGCGGGACCTGAGCTATTGACTCCAGAATCCGCACTCTTCCCTGTATTGATATTGCAATTTGCTTCATATCCGAGCAGCACGTCTTTCTTCCATCCAGTCATCATAGTGAATTCCTTGTTCACGGCAGCAACCTCGCCAGTCCTTCGACAAACGAGTGTTGGCGTGCAGCAATTTAGCATGAAATCGTCATATTCAAAAAGAGTCCTTTGAAAGCACTTTTCCATAAATATCAAGTCCTGTCGATTTAAAGTCTTTGTACAGGATATAAAGGACGGCCGAATGGATGCCAGCGATTTTGCTATTCGAAGCGTTTTAGCAGGTGAAAAGCGTCGTTGCAGAAATGCGGTGAGGCTATGAAACCCCGTGGTATATGGATACGGCTCATGAACCGTGTCGTAGACAGACGAAGCATCTCGGGTTCGTTTTCCTACTGCAGACGACGGTCCGAATTTTTGACTCAATACAGGCTTAGAATCATTTCGTCTCGGAGGGCGATGCTGGGCAGGTTGCTGAAGTGGTGTCCCTGCAGGAGTAGTAAATGTGGTCGGACTGCTTTCGAATCCCATCCCACTCGCACTCGGGCTCGCGTCTGTACTGGGACTATGAAGACTTGTAGGTCCTGTTGCAATTGCATACGCGTGTGGTGGACCATGATGTATAGGATGTGCAAACATCTGCCCGGAATTATTTTGTCTTTCTACCCCCACAAACTCTGGAAGCATGTCTTGTGAATAGACCGGGTTGAACTGATCCATTCCGTTTCCAAAAACCCCACTGTTATTAAAATTAACACTTTCCATCCCTTGTGATGATATTGAGCCCTTTGGTTCCACTTCTCCAGCACCCGAAGACATATGCCCTAGCATGCCGAATTCTAACGCACCATAGTGATTTCCAAAATTTAGACCTTCAAGATCGAAATTGAACAGAGCGGGATTACTGGGATCGAATAAGGCTCCGCCGAAAGCGCCTTGCACATCATTCGAGACTTGCTGCACTGGCATGTTTTGCTGTAATGAATTTTGTCGACTGACTCGGGGTTGAAAGTCTGGCGACAATGGTGATTGTTGTGGTCCATAAGAGAGCCTCGATTGTAATGGTGGAGCCATCGAGTTTGACTGTCCAGTATACAAAGAATAGGAAGGAGAAATGTCAGGCTGCGAGAAGAACCCACTGCTAACTCCTTGAGAAGTGTCTGGTGTCGAGTTACCAGGCGCAGGTGGTGCATGATTTGGTCGAGAGTTATTTACTTGATTGAAGTTGGGTCCTAGAACAGGTCGTAGGGCTTCTGGAGGAGCATCGTGAAGATACTTTGCCTTCTTCCTAACACCGTCTTGGCATGCGTCGGCAAGACCCCGCTTGATACATCGTTGGCAAGGACGCTCGTCGCCTATTAACATAGTCAGTTGATGTTCGTTCTCACCATGAATGCCAACGTGTTGACGGGCGTAAGCAGCAAGACGAAAACTACATTGTCTTCATCCGCAGAAAAGCAAACATACCGCAAGTCAAGTGAGCCCTTTGACATGCAAAGCATGCTCTTCTAGCCTTCTTTCTTCTCGGTCGTAAAGGATCTTTGGGATCCAATTTTGGCTTCGTTGTTGTCACCGTCGATCCTCCCACAGCTTTCCCATTCTCATCAGTCTCCGGTTTGACTTTCTGCTCCGCCATGCTCGAATTATCGTCGCCCTCCTTTACGACATCAAGATCTGGATCTTGGTCACTATACTCATTCTCCGAAGCGCCATCCGAGACCTCAGGGTCTTCTGTCTCATTATCTCCCGACATGCTGATTAAATAGCCACCTAGGGTTGCCAATCTGCACCAAGGTGCTCACTGCTTGCGAAACCACACTCAGCCAATGCAGACCCCCCGTCACAGTTTCGTTATCCAATCCCTGGAATAGTTCTTTGGTGCAGAAGAGGCTCTGTCGTACCATCAAGGGAAGCACAGATACCGAAGCCGCCGTGAACCGCCTCAGCGCACCGACTATGCACAACACCCTGTCGCGCTGATTATCACCCCCCTCAGCTACGTTTCTGCAGCGCTCTCAACCTCTGAATGAGCCTCTTGGGCTTTAAGGACGCCACCGAGTGACCACAACGCCTTTTTGCGCTCTTCAACCACGGTCTATTTCTAGCCCGCTTCTGGCACGTAGAAGAGTCACAATCCCTCTTCTCTGCCGCAAATGAAGGTCGAGTCCTTCACCACAACAGCCCTTCCAATGTCCAGCGTCGGCCAGCAATTACCCGGACCTCGCTATGTTCACCGCGTTTCGCCTCGTGCCTCTTCGGCCACAGGCACGCGTTCGCCCACACAGTCCAACTGAGCTCTGTCTGCGGTCCTCCCCAGGGGCCCGCCACTCTGTCTCCAGTGTCTGTTCCTGTGTCGTGGGAAGGTCGTTGTTCTCCAAACCCCCAGCGCTGGTATTAGGCAAGGACAGACAATAGTCACAGACCCGTTCCCCAAAATCTGCCCGCCGTGACGTACCGTACCGCAGCCTCTGGTCCCAGTGTCCCCAAAGTCCCAGTACTTTGTCTCTGTCACCGCGTCTCCGCTCCCGTACGACGAGCGTAGTGAGCCACTGCCCGTCAGCTAGGTCGCCGACCAATACCACCACGGCGATGTGTTCGCCCAGCACAGCGCAAGGATCACGCGGCGACCGAAGTCTGTACGCCTTCGATTGCTGTAAATCTAGGTTTCTCAGAGCCGGTGCCAGTGGGCCAGTGCCCCCGTATGCTTGCGGCCGTCGCTGCGCTCTTGCGGTTCTGCGGTCTGGCGCTTTCTTGCACCTGCGCGATTTGGAAGTTTGATCGCTATCGTTCAATGCCTCGTCGCGGTCTGGGCGCCAGAGGTGTTGCTGCAGTGCGACAACTGGGCTGCAAGTATCCGTCACTAGAGGCAGTTCCAGCACCAGTCAAGGCCAGGCCATTGATGCCCAAATATGAGCTCGCCTGCTGGTCCCTGCTCTGTATATTTCTGGCCTCCGCCCGCCGGCGCTCGTCGTCGAGTAAGATGCGAAGGATGGAGTATTGGCTGGCCGTGATGCGTGCAGTCTGGTGAGTCGTCGAGTGATCTGCTGCTTGTGGTGAGAGAGGGAGCTGCTCGTATTCTTGACGCGCGCGCGGAGAAATGAGATCCGGGCTATTGGGTCTGCTTGCAAGTAGTCGCGGAGAGATTGAGTTTGTGATGGGGGTGGAAAGGGAGCAGCTAGTCCTGTGGAGGAAGTGAAAGGAGGGAAGCTAGCAGCACCGGCAGCGGCAGCAGCTGTGGTGCAGAAGTGGAGAGCGGGGTTTAGCGCAGAACTTTCTGCTTGCTTTCTGCAGCAGTCGAAACCCAACGACAACGACAACAAAGTTGCTCTTCTGACTCTTCCTTCCCAAGATCTCCTCTGATCCTCGCATTGGCAGACCAATTGCACTTCTGGCTATCGCACCGCTCCCAGCAAACGAGGCGTATCACAATTGAGTGGCTCTGGCTCAGTAGGCGCGTGGCAGGAACGTTGTGCGTGTTGCGCAAACAATGGACGACGGGAAGCTCGAGGTCGACTCCTGGACCTCGCTTGTCGACAACCTCACCCACCTGGGCATCCGCCTCCTCTGATTCAGCCACAGCGCGTTTCGCTTATTTTGCCTCAACCAGGGAGAGCTGGCCTCGCAGTGCTCTTCCCCTCCATCTATCAACAGTTGCAAAAGGGGGGTCGTTGTACAAGGAACTAGGACCAGGTGTTGACGCAGCAGCTTTCTCAACGTTGGCATAACCTAACTTCTCACTTAGAGTGAGCGACTTCGCTTAACAATCCTCTTGATCTACTCGGCGTGGCCCTTGATACAGAAGGGACTGTAATGGCTGGAAGTCAGAGCCATGAAATGTGACAAGGATAGCTGTCGTGTTGTGTCTATCCAACCGCATCTCGAGGCTGCTTACCTCCAGCTTTTGCTGTAGTACCAATATGATAACGGTCACATGCTTCGCATATCACACCTCTGCTCTCCATCCTGGCCAATGTAGCGCAGGAGACGCCACAGATCGATCTTCGGAATTCACTGGTCGGCGGGGAGAACACGACATCTCGGTAAAGGGAACTTAACCAGGGAATTTGGCTGGCGGCGCGTCACGATGCCGTTACGTCTGGGGTTACACTTCGAAGAGCTGCACTTTGGACGAGGAGCGATCGCGGACAACATGAGATAGGGGCGATCATGGCCTCAAAAGACCAGCGGGTTTCAGAAACGAAGCGGTACATGCACTTGTCATCAGATGACGCTGTTACTGAAGGCCAACGTGAAGTAGTGACACCTCAGTGCCTTCCCGGGTTGGGATCTAGACACTTCCTATAAAGACAGACCTTGGTCGAGACTTCGGCTCCAGGTCTATGATCGAAACACAACTTCAAACTTGGGAGAATCTTGGGCAATGGTTGCAATTCATCAAGGTTTCAACCGGTGTAGTTCTACCAAATTAGACGCAGGCGGACGAAATGCAGGTGTCAATGTATGTATTAGTCTATATCCATGACGAGATCTACGTCCGAACTAATGTAGGTATGTGACAAGAATTGGTGCATCATGCACTGGCAAATCGGCTCTTTCCTCTTATCTTTTTCCCATACTTGAAGAATATGATGGGAAATGGCATCATCGCAACAGTGAGGAATGCCAGTAAACTTGTGGCCCATTGATTTCCCAATTTGTGATACATTTGTACTCCAAATAACGGGAACGCAGCTATGTCATCTATCAGCCTCAGTCCACAGGGAGTTCCGCTGCTCGAGCAAAAATACGGAAAGAGCGCTTACCGCCAAAACTGCTGCGCGCAAAAGAGTTTGCTGCCAAGGACGAGGCCGCATATAAAGGATAGGCGTCGACCAGAAAGGTAAAAATACCGCTGAAAACAAGTAGTGTCCTGCAGGTTTTAAATGGTTAGCAGCTTCATATATTTTGTGCAACCGTACGTGCATAGAATTGAAGTGTCATGTGAGTTTTGAATTAATATTCCAAGTCAATAACAAGGGCGGCTGCGTCTGAGCTGCGTCTTTTGATTGCAATCAACTAAAAACAGTTCGGCAGATCGATTGCTTAATATGGAATCAGGAACGCCGGCGGTTGGTCGCCTTTCGAGGGGTAATCCTAGAGTACTAGGTGGAGATCTACCGAGTACCTAAACTGGCCTGACAGCTCAACAGACACTGGCTTTCAAGGGCCGAGCCGTGATGGAGGCTGCATGCGAAGCAGGTACCGTTCGTATTCTGAGCACCACTTGACGCCTTGATAACAGTATGCGAGTGATATTGGAAGTGCCTCAGAACGGTTGAGACATTGAGATCATTCGATAGCAAGATGAGGGGAAGAAGAAAGAATCAAGACATACCCCATGCCAAAAATAGCTGATCCGATAATGGGAATAATCCAATGGACACTACTGTATGTTGTCCACGCAAATAGAAACAGTCCAGTTGGCACAAGGAAGGCCCCAGCGATAGCAGGCGGTAAACGATATTCGGGCTCACTGCCTCCAACCTCTCCGGTTATCTCTTCCCGTTGTTTGATAAGACGTGCGTAGTTTTTGTGCCAGAATGGATCTGTCATCGCACCTGCAACCATACCAGCGAAAATCCCTAGGAATGCTAAGCCGGTCTGTGATAAAGTGAACCCATGTTGGCCTTCAAACACGACGGGGAAAGCGCCGAAAAACAAATATAAGATTCCTAGTAGAATTGCGGAAAATAGGCATAGATTTGTGCACATTGGCTCGAATATCAAAAGCTGAAACGGTCGGAGTAACGAAAGGCCAATGGTTTTTCGAATCGATTTGTCCGTCTTTTCAAGAGGTGCTTTCCATCTTTCGTCTCCAGTTTCCTTTCTCAGTTTTCGTGCCTTGTTTCTCAATAGTACAGGATGGTAGGTTTCGGGGACTAACAAGGCGATCATACCAAGATTCGCAGCTGACCAGATCAGTAAGACGTAGAATGTCCATCTCCATGTTGTATATTGGTTTATGAATCCTCCAATGAGAGGTCCTATCGAGGGTCCAACGAAGGGACTCGCTGTGTAAATTAACATGGGAAGCTGAAGTTGTTCTCGGTTATACATGTCCCCGACAGTACCACCTGCCACGGATAGAAATGCACTACCTGAAAGTCCATCAAGGAAACGTGCGATGAGCATGGTCTGAATGTTATGTGCCACTGCTGAGGGGATCAACCAGATGATGAAGAACGAAAACGAGACGAGATAGATTGGTCGTCGCCCATAGAATTCGCTGTCGACGTTAGAAGTGAGACCTCTGAACTTCAGCAATTGAAACTTACGAAAGCGGCCCCAGAAGCATGGGACCTATTCCTAGTCCCATTATGAACAGAGAAAGACCTAAAGTCGCCACGATTCGAGATATGCCGAATTCATCTTCAAGCTGAGTATATGTCGAAGTGTATATAGACGAAGTACAGGTCCTAACGCAGACGTTAGCTGACTACACTATTAACACCATACACAGTGCTAATCATTAGAGAATCTCATTTCTTAGCCGAAAGAGTCTTATTGGGCATGCTGACAACATCGGGGCTTATTGATTAGGCGAAGAGCGTTTCTCCAAGATCTCGTCGCATACACAACCTCTCGTACGCAAAAATTGACCTCGCAAAAGAAGAAGTTGACTTACACACAAAGCGAAGAAGCGCTAACAATCAAAACAACAAGCCATTTCCTAGCAGCCGACATGCTTCTGGGGTTCATGGGATCAGATTCGCCTCCATCCCAATGTACTTCGAACGGATCTTTCTCTGCTGGGCCACCATTCTCCATATTCTGCTCAGCTGTATCCGCCTCGTTATCATGGTCATCGCATCCATATCCATTATGCGAACGCGTTTGGTGCAGCGATTTGAGAGACGTTGAGCGTCGGGATTGAGCATCGCCTCTGTTGGCGTCGCGCGGAGTGCTAATCGGCGCAAATTCCTTTGACTGCGCTTCCAGTTCGCTATTTGGTTCCGAATTACTGGCAGAAAGCTTCTCCTCGAGGTTCGCGTTAGATTCCGCCATCATTGCCGTGTATCTTGGGTAAGGAAGTGCAGAAATGCTGTCACTAGTTAGATCATTGGAATTCCAACTCTGTGACGAGTTTTACTGACTTTTATATGTCACCACGCGTCCAAAGATGCCGCGATGGTCATCACTTGCTGTGCAATCTTTGATCTTTCAATACTGGGTGTCGGATACGAATTAGCGTCTCAAGATATCCGTGTATCTGACTCCATGGGAATAAGAATGACGGGAGGTGATGCTCCCCAATGTCGGAAATGTTCCTGAGCTCGAGCAAAACATCCTGGCACATTGGAGATACGGCAGTTCGGCATGACGATTTAGCTTGAATTGAAAGTGGATAGAAAATGCTGGGGACGTGTGATTTGTTGGTTGGTCGCAATCTTAGGAAGCGTGATAT